CTGCAGGAGTCAAATGAACTGACGACGGTCACATGTCACTGGCACACCAAAGTGCCTTCATTTGGTGTACATTCTTGCTGTGTTTCATGTGATACTCTGCTATGGTAAACAACGACTCAATTGCCATTTGACAACAACTTGACTGGAACAAACCAGTCTTGTAGTTTTGTCATGACAGTTGCAGTAGAGAGCATCCTGCTACCAATGATGCTTGCAAGGGAAAGAATAGTGTCAGATGGATGACAGCTACGCTGGATGGGAGGAGACGAGCGGCTTTCCATTATCTGCAAGCTAGGCTGTCGCGCTGTTAGTCTATTCCACATGCTCAATTCTTACCAGTAATGCGTGATTACGTGTGGTCATCGCCCTGTCATTGGCAATTCACAGGAAATGTGTTTGAATTCAGTTGACTGTTCCCTTACAGTTACAACAGATTTTCACTTGCAGTGTCCAACCTGGAGGATAGTTTTGCCTCTGTTCACGTTCTCCCAGGATGGCTTAGTGAGATATAGGCAGGGTGAGGGGTAGCCACGTTACTCTCTGCCATCTGTTCTTGCAGTGGTGGGTGTGAGTGACAGGACAAAAACCAGTTGCACGATACCTAAATAGTTGGATTTTGCACTGAACTGAAATTTTTCCCTGTCATAATAGCAATTTTATTTATGATGCTCCAAGTAGCACAATTTGCTTTTGGGTGTGTGCTCACTCAGGGAAGTTGAGGCGAGGCCGTGCGTGGTGAAGTGAGGCAAGGTGGCGTGATGCTGTATAAAGTGAGACGACGATGCAATTTAAATTACTGTTAGTGAATAAGTGCAACTGCACGGGATAAGCAAAGCTGTCTATTTGGTGCTCAAGCCCACATCCTGAATCACCCACCCCAGCGTTTCATCCTTTCTATTGGATTGCACTAGGCATTCCCCACTTTGTCGATGCTGCATTTCAACGAAGATTGCTCTCCAACGCTCAGTACTGTGACACCTCAACCATGGTTCATGAGTCCTAGGTGTGTCACTTAAGGAATGGAATGGAATTGAACGTCGTAGTAGCTACTGCCAACCACTTGACTGTGCGTCGACTGATGGGATGGCTCGTCTGCCATGCGGCTTCCGCCTACAACGTGCCTGCTACACATCAAATAATGTGGGTCGCAACTCGCCAACTATGTGAAATGACGGTACCTAGCATTGGCAGAAGAAAGAGGCAATTAGGAGTGCATCCAGCGTGTTGATGCACCTTCTTAGGAGGTAAAGTGGGGCGACGAAGTAGAGTGATTTGATTCATCAAATTGAAATGAGGACCGGGAGAGTGAGTGGGGTAAAAATGAATTCGGAATAAGTTGTGAGTGAATGAAAGAGGCAATGCATCAAAATAAATTATAACTTTAAACCACAACACTTCTAGCTACCTCCAACAATGCAGTAGTAGCATGATTTTCTCAGAAGTCACTAAATCTACTTCCTCCTACCTCTTGATAATCGCCGAAATGCCATCTTCTGCCTTGTGGCTATAGACCACCCAATG